AAAGGATGAAGTGTTTACTAACGTACACAATTGGAGAAGCGGGGTCTTAGATAGCAAGCTCTTTGAGGGAGAGACATCATCTGTGTACTATAAAAACAGCTATTAATCAACCGGTACTAGGCCCCAATACAGAAGTCTATTTATGCATGTGCCTAGCTTGAAACATGTGCAGTTTCTTGGGCTTAAGTGAGAAGGAGATGCACTGAGGAGCAGGTGAGTGGTTTCTATTCTCTCTCTCTCTTCCTTTGAAGACTATTGAGAAGTTTAGAGAAACCTGAGCTAGATGTGTCATAGTTTCTAGGGTCGGAAGGGACCTGAACAGATCATCAAGTCTGACCCCCTGCCCTGGGCAGGAATGAGTGCTGGGATCATAATACCCCAGCCAGATATCTATCCAACCTCCTCTTGAAGACCCCCAAGGTAGGGGAGAGCACCACCTCGCTTGGGAACCCATTCCAGAGCCTGGCAGCCCTAACCGTAAAGTAATGTCTCCTGATTTTCTCTCCACCCTTTTTTAAAATCCAATTTTAAATGTGTTGAGGAATCATTGACAGCATTCAGACATTGCCAGACACGCTCCTCATCAAAAGAATCAGAGATGCAGAAGCTTTTGTAAGCAACAGCTCACTTCATCAGATGCCACCAATGAAGCAGCTGCTTAGTCAGATGCTTATGAAGTTTCACATCTTGTTCAATTAGTCTCTGCCTCCTGCCCGACTTCTGATTAACACAACTAACTACCACTCACCCTTATAATTTCATTTTTTATAGATAACTTAAAAATACAAAAACTCTGAAGTGCTAAATTTAATCCTCTTTCCTAAATGAAAGGGTACAAACCATGAGAATCAGCTGAGTCCTCTGTTCAGTGAAATGATGGACCGGTTCTCATTGGTCCTTTTTGGAAACCCAAGTCTTTGGCCCTTTGGGTGTGGTATGAAAGCAGGTCATAAACAAAAGCAGCTAGATTATCAGTGGCAATTTGCTGGAAATTAAAAAGATTCTTCTGAGCTATTCTGAAGCATCAAATAAGCTGCAGCTTTTAGTTTCAAAAGTAACAAATATTTTTGGAGAGAGGGTCAATAGGAGGGGGAAAGTATAGGCTCCCTTCAGTTAAAGGCTAAAAACCATTTCAACACACACAACATAGACTGCAATCAGGAATGCAAACACGCGGCACCACGAGGGAGCTGTGTTACCCATACAGGGAAAGGAGCACTGGTAATACCTAGCTCTTACACAGGACTTTTCACCAGTAGATCTGCAAGCCCTTTGCAAAGGGAAGTTATTACAGCTGCCTCTACCGCAAGGTGAAGTGGTTTGCACAAGGTCGCCCAGCAGGCCAGTGGCAGAGCTAAGCATTAATCTTCAGTCCCAGTCTAGTGCTCTGTACAGGAAGCAACGATGCCCCCAAAATACAATTCATCAGGGTTAGTCACGGAGCAGCCTTTGGGCTTAACAGTGGCTTGAAAGTACTGCTCATGTCTGACCTCTGAATCTTTCTGCTTGGGTAACTTTTTTCAGACTTGTGCTGAAACTGGTGAAATACTGCCCTGGCCTTATTTCTTCAGTGATTTTTACAGGGCAAACTTCTCTCCGAAAAAGTAACAGCACTAGTAACATACGGATGGGGAAAAAAACTAGATCTTTAAGTTTGTAATTCTGAATCACATTTTGTTTTGGCCAAATGTAAACGCAGCCATTTTTATTTTTTAAAGCAAGTGTTAAATCAGGTGTTTTAATCAAGCATTGCCAACATGCCCCAACTACATACTGCTTTCTTGACTAGTATTTTTGTGCAGGAAATCACCTAGAAAATGATGCAAAAGTATGTTCAAGCCATGCAACCAGGAAAGTTTCAGTCCTCTCCACTATGTGTATGCAGCCGAAACATTTAATTTATGGACATAAAAGCAACATAATAATGTTTATAAAAGCCTTTTCATTTTGTGTTTCATACTGTTTGGTAAAATAAGCGTGATTTTTTTTTTAAAGGAAAAATTATCTTTGTTCCACCTAAATCAGAACTAATTTCTAACCTGTTTCCTTTGTTTGCTCCGCAACACAGCAACAGAAAGAAAGCTCAAAGAAAACCTGTTTCTCTCCAGACAAACTCTGGATCCTACAGTCATAGCTAGAAAACTCCTCCAGGTGGCTCTGCCTTTTCCCGAATAAATCCAGTCCCCGCAGTCAAAGTTGCAATGCAAAACAGTGCGATGATCCCCCTAACCTCCCCCCGTCCCCGGGCTGATCACAGGCTTTTTTTTTTTCTTTCTTTCTCTTTAGTAATTTTCTTTTTGAGCAAACGGATAAACACAAATTTGTTGCAATGTTACCGACTAATCGCAGGCGCGGAGCTCTTCAAACACAGCCGGTGCCTTGCTCTTAAAGCCCAGCAGCATCCTTTTTGTGTCTCAGCCGCCTCCGCCCGGGGCCGGGTGTCTCCCTGCCGCCCGCCCTCGTCCAGCCCGACCCGGGCACTTGTCACAGCGAAGGGGGG